ATGCAAAAGCAACCAAAGGCAATAGGTAGAGGTTTTTTTGGAGCTTCCCCTTTCGCCTCATATTTCACTGCTTTGGTTTTATTTGTCAGACCAGCAAAATACGAGGCGAATACGTTAATACCTATGTATGTGCGCACCATCCGCTCGCTTGCATTCTTATATGTTCCCTTTATACTGCATCAGTGGGATATAAGGTGTACATTTGTGATGTCCTGGAAAATCTTTTTGGACTCGTCCAAGTCAATTATCTCGCAATGATTTAGCATCTCAATATCATAACTTTTCAAGTTTTAGCGATGTACAAACTGATTTGCGCCGTTCAAAATTACAGCTGGGGTAAGCCTGGTAGTTCCAGCACAGTTGCCGCTTTAGTTAAAGATGGTCATCATGCGGATTGCGTCGATGAGCAAAAGCCGTATGCTGAGGTAGAAGCGATAAGGTGAAGTTAATTGTGATATATTGACGTCATTACATTCAGTTCTGGATGGGGGTTCATCCCAATGGACCTGCAAAGATAGCTGAAACTCTTGAAGATCTTGCAAATCGCATCACTAATCACCCAGAGCTCGTAGGAGAGCATGAGCAGGGTGAGTCAGCTTATCTGGCTATTTCTTTATCTCGCACCAGTCCTTTCAGGAACGTTGCAGTTCTTATTCAAGGTGCTGTCCGTGAATAAGGCGTTATCTGTGCAAAGTCATCCTACGAAGGTACGCGTTTGCGATGATTCCTTATTTTATTTTTCTGTTTATTAGATTCTTTGCCAACATCTTTACAAAAATGCTTATTCACTCTTTCCTAACGTAACATCTGCATCTTCGAAATTTGTCGGCCTTGACTTTCCTTTTAGGAAGAGGCTGCTATACTGCATAAAAATGATCCTGTCCACTATCCTGATCCAAATCATAAACCAGAGATGGCTATAGCTCTCACAAATTTTGAATTATTATGTGGATTCCGTCCAGCTAAAGAAATCTACCGAAATCTAAAAGGTACTCGATTTATTCCAATTTTCCTGTTCGAAGAGTAGTTTGCATAGTTTCAGGCGCTCCGGAGGTTCTTTCCCTGGCTGGAGGAAGTGGAGAGCTGGAAAACTTACTGGGAGGTGATGCAGCTGCTAAGGCAGCTTTGAAGAACATTTTTACCAAAATCTGGAGTTCTACTCCTGAGCAACTTGCTGAGGCCGTTCAAAAGTTTATATCTCGTATCAAAAATGGTTAGTCTGCTGCCATCACTTGCTAACTGTTTTGCCTTTCTAACATTTTCGGTTCTAAAGAATGTGCTTTGTTTGTAATCAGCTGTTGAAGCGAAGTTGTAATCTGTTCATCTTGTCATATTCAGAGCCAAGCGAACTCAATGATTTGATGGTCAGGCTCGATCATGAATTTCCGGGCGGTTCGTCTCTAAAATAAATATGGTAGACACCACTACCATGACAAGTTTAGTTGTAGGTGACGTTGGCGTTTTCGCACCCCTTTTGCTCAATCATTTCACACTGAAGCCTGGTCAAGCCTCCTTTCTGGGCCCTAATCAGCCACATGCCTACTTGTCCGGAGGTATAATGCACTGTGTCATACTCTTTGAATTATCTCTACTGAAACGTTGATTTGCAGATTGCATAGAGTGTATGGCCTGCTCAGACAACACAATTCGAGCAGGGTTGACTCCTAAGTTCAAGGACATCCAGACTTTGTGTGCTAACCTTACTTATGCCATGAGTGGGCCACCGATTTTTGCTCATAAAGAAGTCTTTTCTGGTGTCGACTTGTATGCTCCTCCTGTGCCCGAGTTTGCTGTGCAGTCTGTGAAGGTATATATGTTTCCTTTAGAAAGTGAACACTGAAAGGTGGGA